AATTTTTTCATGTAAATTTGACTAATAAATTTGTACGCATCGATATCAGCATGGCTAATGTATATCTCTCTTTTATTGATTTACTCTTACAATTAGAGCCTTCTTTGCTAGTTTATTATCTAATATATTCATTTATCTATTTATTCATAATATTTTGTTGCATATATTGGCTAAAAATTACGCTGCATTTACAGGCGGAAATTATTCCTTTGTGTGAAGTAAAGTTAGTAAAGAAGTTGACTGAATTATTAAATTCTGTGGAACCAGTAGAGACAACTCTAAAGGATGCAATGCGAAAAGCGAAGGCAAAACTTCAAAGGGAATGGTCTAATTTTAAAGAAGGGTATGTATAGCAACTTGCATTTTTATATCTTACAATGCGAAGTAATTGGACATTATTTCTCAAAATCTCATACATTGTCATACAAAACGATCACAAAAAAGAATTATAATTAAAGATATTGTAAAATATCATTTTATTATTATTCCGTTTCTTTATTAACATTTACGAAATATTTTGGTTTTGATCATTAATACACATAGCAAAATAATGTTGTACATCTTCATAACTTTTCATATCTTTTCATTTTCATTGTCTGGAGAATTCGAATTACCTGACGCCTTGAGATTGCTACAATCCATGTGATTTACGATGTGGTCGTTGTCCACACTTCTAGTAACGTTAAATGTTAATCACTTTTGTCGAGCATGTATGGTAGACAAACATGTGATGTGTTGTAGCAGTGTGGAGGATCAGGACTCATCCGGTGAGAGTGGTCTCAGCTCTAATTGGTGGGTTCTTGGGACGCAGGGCAGGGATCCACTCTCAACTCCCGGAGACGCAACGTTACAAACGTTACCGCAATCTGCCGTATCCCCACTTGGCACCAAAGACACACAAAAACAATCACAAGTCGAGAGTGAAAACGAAAGTACGGTCAAAGATTCTAAACAAAGTTACCACGAAAGCCGAGAGCCGAGTAGCGAACGGCAAAATGGAAATGATAACAAACAGTCGGAGATCAAGGCGGCATCAGGAAGAAACGAAGTTGTGGAAGAAGAAAAGAAACTGGAAGTCAAACAAGACAGAGAAAACGAGAATGCGTCAGACGAAGGTATTCTTTTCTTTGATTTTCCATTCAGTTGTCTTATTCTTCTTTCATACTGAAAATAATACGTCCTTCAGATGCAAACCAGGAAACACAACATAGTAGACGGGTGTTACGAGCGCGCGGCGTCTCTTCATACACAGAACAGCTTTATTCAGATGACGAAAGCGATGAGGACGAGCTGGAGGAATGGGCCGACGTTGAGGCAGTATACGCGGCTCCCGGCACACAGACCAATACATCCACTTCTCACACTAATTCGAAAGAACGAAACGTTGACAACTGGTCGGACGCGGAGGACTCAGACCAAGATTGGATTCTACCGAGCTCTCGCAAAAGGAAAAATAAACGTTCGTGTGAGTATCTAATATCTTGAAGAAAAGCTATACTATTATATTTTTTTCTCTATTGAGGGATTGTAGATTTTTCATAAAATTTGTTTTGTTTGAATATAAGAATATAAATTAATAGCAATTTTAATATAAAAGAATATTGATAGAAAAAAATCGAAAGTATTATAAAAATCAATAAATTCTGTATCACTTTTATAACTTTAACATTTGTGCTGTTTTAGCTACCAATCGAAGATTAAAATCATTTGAACATAAGGTACAGAATATCACAGAAAATACATCTCAGAGTAATGCGGCGTTTGATGTTTCTCATCCTAATGCGAAAATTATTAAAGATAAATTGAAGGATAAACTCAAAGATAACAAGAGAGAGCCTGAAAATGCAGCTGCTCCGCAAATCCTTGGTAATACCGCTACTTCTGCAGCGAACAACAAAAATAAAAGAGAAGTGCCTTCCATGGACACGATTTGTAAGATTGAATCTGTCAAGAGTGTGCATTCGGAACTAGACATCAAAGATGAGGGTCCGGTGTACGAGTCCAATCCAAACGCCACAAGCCAGCAATACGAACAGAACAATTACGAACCCACGAATCCGCAACAAAAATATTATTATATGGTGCCACAGAATTCTGGAATAGTGCCCCAGGGGACGATCATCCAAGGAGCTGTGCCGCAAGCTCCGCATGCGACTTACTACATGCAGCAGCCTTATATAATACAGGCTCCACAGGGCAAATATCTACCCTCTACTCAGCAGCAACAACAGTTTGTTTATCAACAGCAAAGTCCGCAAATAATGGCTCAACCGTACGTCAACAATACGAATTACGTATCTTATGTAGCGGTTGCAACACAGCCTCAAACAGAGTACATGGTTACACCTGGGCCGATGATAAATCAACTGAATTCGCAGAATCCAGTTCATTGCGCTCCCAGACCGCAGAATAGATACATGCAAAATAACAGACAACTGGCACCGCGACAGAACTCACAGCATCTTAATGGTACGGTAATAAGAAGCATTGGCACACCTGTCAGAGGTCAGAGACCCACCAATTCGAAAAACGTCCCTTCGTCGAGGCAAAAACAGAAAACATCACAGACATCCAGCACGGAAAATAGCGGTCAAAAGGTCACATCTCTGATTATGCTCAGTGATAGCGACGATGAGATAGAAATGATCATTATGGAGAAATCGCCCAATACCTCAGAAAAAACTCCAACCAACAGAGCTAGATCATTGGAGTCTCAAAGAATTGCTAATCAATCTAGACAGAAACCTACGATCACTTCGGACATTACTGTCCCTTCGACAAAGGGTATTCTCTCACCGCAAATCATTCAACGAATGAGCCAGGGCGGTATATCCATCACGCCAGTGAAGAACAATCCGCCGCCAACGACGAATGCCAACACGCAGCTAGTAGTAGTCGTAAATGATACCGGAAGTCACTATGCCTTGGCACTACCCAATGGCAGCAAACTCATACTCACTCCGGAACAGGTAGCGCAGATTAGAGCTTCAAATGGAGGGAAACTAATTTTGTAGAGCGTGTAATTAACCATATTACACAAATTGCGTGTCTTTGTTCTGTTTCTTAAGTTTTCACAATCGCAATAACATGTAAATCTGATACATGCAAGTTTTATCTTCATATCTTGCCGATTTAGTCATTAGTCTGTAAAAACAGAAATTTATTGATGAGATATAAGATATATCTTATCATATAACCGCAAATGTTTAAAAAGAATTAAGTTAAAAGTTTTTAGATAGATTATCTATCTTCCGTTATATGATGTACAAAGAATATTAAAAAAAATTATTTCTTAATTTTAATTAGTTTCTTTTCACAATATGTATAGTAAATAACGATCTTAAGTATAGTATAATAGTATGAACTAGGAAATTGAGGCGGAAATAATAGAATTTATATTAAAACTTCGTATTTCTTTCATATTCTTGGAACAATCACGCATGTATATTGCATGGATACAAAAATTAAATTTTCGCTAAAAAAAATTCAAGTTTATAATTGCAAAATTAGTGCAAAATATTGTTATATTTGTAAAAAAATATGAAAACGTTTTTTAATTTTTTTTTATAAAGAATATTACGAATTACATAAATGCTTCATCGAATAATAACATAATGTTGGATACATGCCTAAAATTCGAATAAATATTTATGTCTGATTTTAATTTTGTATTACAATAAAATATAGAAATGAGATAATATTGTACCTAAAAGACTAATATTTAGAGTTTCGTATAAAATTTATGAACTTCTATAAAAAAGGTATTATTGATTCGATGATACGCTAAATAATTAACTTTTACATGTAAAATAAGCTACTATTTAAAATAACTATTAGTATTTTTGCACTTCAAGTTAAAAAATTATAATTTTGTTCACATATTTCTAATTTTTAATGTTTGTTATAATGTTGTTGTTATAATGTTATGTTAAGTATTAAATTTTAAAGAAGACAATTAGATACCTCTCTTAATTGAGTACCTCTCGTTTAGGTTTTTTATATAATTGTCCTTTATAAATTTTATTAATATATATATTTTTGTAATTAAGTGCCACAATATAAATGCATGTAATTTACATGAGAAAATTGTTCTTGAATATCACCAAAATTAATGTGCATTGGTCTACATATTCTATATAAACATATTATCATGACATGATATCGAATGTTATATATTTCTCATGTATTAATTATACAGATAACAATGTATAAAAATAGAGAGATATTTCTCTAAATATAAATATTATTTTCTTTTCTCTATCTACATAACTAAGCAACAAAATGTTTTTTATGTATGTTACAAAAACAATCTCACTGCAAGAAGGAAGTTCACTTGCATTAAACCAAATAGGAACGTTAAATCGTTTAACACAAGTATCATGAGTAAATGGTAACATAAATCAACAGTGGCCCAATCGAAAATGGAACGCAGTTCTCGTTAATTGGATTACAGGAACTCAGCGAATTTTTTAGTTGCATTCTCGACATATAAGATTAATAACATAACTAATACGTTCGTGTGAACGTTTTTTTTTTTTAACTGCATTAACACAAGGCCTCTGGACGTCCTTGGACCTCTCTCTTTTACACCTGATTCTTCTTTCGCGCGTACGGTAAATCTTTATCGAAGGCCAAGAACTTGGATAGGCGTGTCCCGTTATAAGGCGTGTTACTTCCCGGTGGATGAAGCCTCATCTAAAACAAAGGCCATCAGATAATCGTATGCGTGACGATAGCGTAAATAATTTATCCATAAATCTATGTATAAATGATATGATAATTTACATTTTCCTTTCGCTCTCAACATTGATTAATTATTTATCTGCACTCAATCTTGGAAGACTACGTACCACATGCTCCTGACTTTCGATGTATTCCTCGAGATATCGCGACACAAATCGACGACGACAACATAATATAATAAACAATATTTATTCTATCAATGCTTTATTTATGTGTAAATGTGATATGAAAGTAAAATCTTTGTGTACACAGATAAGGAAATTTATAAAATATTTTATTATATATTTGCAGATTTATTAAAAAAGTTCCATAGTTTTGTTCAGGCATCACGAAAAATTAGTCTTTTTTTATGAATACTTTATAAAATTCTATGATTATATTTTTTTTTGTCATTTTTAGATTATTATCATAAATAGATGAGATAAATTTTTTAAGATGATATCCATAGCTAAAATCATGTATAAGCATTATTTAAGATGATGTCCATAACTAAAATCATCTATAAGCAACATTACAAAATAAATGCTAACGATACGATTGATAATAACTTATTAACATATAACTGATAAAAAACTATATTAATTCTATTTCTCGTATAAAAGCAATAATACATTCCAAAGCTCCGTCAAAGGATTAATGATCAATCACCCAGCTCCGTTTTGCGGTTAGTTTTATTAATAATGTTATACAAATAAATTCCCCCTTGACGAAGCTTAAACATTACAGAACCAAACTTTATTGTTCCTTATCATTTCGCGTCCTAAGATAAGTGGAAAAATGTATATTATAAAATATCTCATTATTTTATGAGCGTCTTGCTTGTGTCTGTTAATTTTTTGTTATCCATTTCTTCATCTTGAATACACGGTGCGGCAGTGACTTGCTTATTGATGTATTATCCAAAGACGAACATTATGACGTAATACAATACTATTATTTGATACCGTAATATGAAAAAATGGATAATTAATTTAAGGCAATAATTGCTTTATCTACGTCGCCGTTATTATTTTATTATAAGTATTATTTGTAAATAGTTGAGCTCCCTTCGATGCAGCAGCAGCCCCGAGCATTAGTATGGTGTGGCTTTGACTCTATTTGGGTTTTATGATTTGCGTGCGCATGGATTGCGGTCGTGCAGCATCATTCTCATTCTCTACTTCTCGGCGTCAATGACTCTCGCATTCCCATCCGGATTATTGAATCGCTTCTGCAACGAGAAAAAGACCGACACCAATCCGTTACACGCATTAAGGCGTTTTTGATATTACGACGATACAGGTCGAGCGTTCTTTTCTTTAACTTGAATAAAATTAATTTTTTACCGCTTGTATCTCATTTAATTAAAAATTAAGTAAACTTTCAAACTTTCATAGAAGATCAACACTATTTTTGAACATCAAAAATATTATCTATGAATTTCTTGAAAGAGAATATTCCTCTTTGGAAGTTTATTTCTTGTGTGGCTATTAAATAACGAGACTGACGCTGTAAAACATTTTATTTTGATTTCATACATATTTATTTATTATCACTTTCAATATACACCCCTCCTCTATCCCTACAACGCTCCATGCGAATCTTCCATTGTTTGAAACAGTGCTGAAAGTCTTCTTCTGTCAGCTCCTTCAGGACGCGTGCCGCTTTCTCTTTCACAGCTTCAACGGACTCAAATCTTGTTCCTTTTAACGCAGATTTCACCTTAGGAAACAGATAGAAGTCGCACGGTGCAAGATCCGGCGAATAAGGCGGATGGTCTAACACTGGGATGCTGTACTTGGCTAGAAACCTCTTGACAGACAATGCGGAATGAGATGCCGGCGCATTGTCTTGGTGGAGAACCCATGACTTGTCTTTCCACAATTCGGGTCGTTTTTTCCTTATTCTTTCACGGAGTTCAGCAAGAACGTGAAGGTAGTAATGTTGATTAATAGTTTGACCTTCAGGAACCCAGTGAAGGTACACAATCCCATGAATATCGAAAAAAACAATCATCATTGCTTTGAATTTTGATTTGCTCATTCGAGCTTTTTTTGCTCTCGGTGAAGTTGGGCTCTTCCAGTGCATGGATTGGCGCTTCGTTTCGGGATCATAAGTAAAAAACCACGATTCATCACATGTTATTATCCTTTCCAATAAGTTTGGGTCATTTTCAATGGCATTCAAAGTGTCAGTACAAAGATTTTTGCGAGCTTCTTGTTGTTCAAACGTGAGAATTTTAGGTACCATTTTGGCACACACTTTTTTCATGTTAAAATTGTTATGTAAAATTTGCCGTACACATTCTTTGTCAATTCCTACAGTTTCACCAATCGCACGAATACTTAACCGACGGTCGGATCGAACCAGATTACCGATTGTTTCGATATTGTCATCCGTTTTTGACGTGGAAGGGCGACCCGGGCGTGAATCATCTTCAACGTCTTCTCGGCCGTCTTGGAAACGCTTAAACCACTCAAAAACACGTGCACGCGATAAACATTCACGGCCATACACTTCTTTCAATAAATTATAAGTTTCAGTAGCGGTTTTTCCAAGTTTCACGTGAAATTTCATAACAATTCGTTGCTCTATTGTTACACTTATCATTTTTGCGGCGAAACAAAAAAAACAACTCTAATGCGAAAGAGAAGGCTTCATGCTAAACAGCTGTCGGTCGCTGGCATTGGCGCATGCGTACTTCTTCTGTAGCAGCGTCAGTCTCGTTATTTAATAGCCACACCTATTCTTCAAGTTGATCTTATCTTAGTCATACGCATATTGTTTTTTTTTTAAGCCCTGTAAACAGCGAGTTTTCACCTCCATTTTTGCACGCGTAATTTACCACGATCTCAAATAAAACTAGACACTCACCATGATTCTGTACTTCTCCTTGCAAGCGTACTCGGTCTCGTCCACGTCGTTGTAACAGTCGCTTTTGTAATCCTCGGGTATCGGACGACCCTCGAATTGGCAGAGCCTGGAAAGCGGTCTTGCCTTGACGAGCATTTTCTCGAAACCAATAGGCTTGTGTTGCGGACAATAAAACACATCCGGAGTATTCTTATCGAAGACGATGCTTTTGCGCATTATGTCGCCACATTGCACTACAACGAGCAGCGCCTACGATATATACAGACATGATCAAAAATATTTTTTTAAGATGTAATATATACATATATAATTTACAAAAATTTTTCAAGAATTTAAATTAAAATTATAATTAGGAAATTATACAAATTTCAGACGTTGCGGAATTATAAACTATTTTGCTAACGTTCAGTACAGAGATTATTCAATGGAAAGAAAAAGATCGTTCTCTATTTTCACGCCAAGAAGTTTTTCATGGCCGAAAATGGCTGGAATTAATTTATATTTTGATTAATTAACCGAGTCTTCTTATCTGCCAATATATTGTTGGCATTTTGGTTTTTTTTTCTCGCAGAAAGTTCCCGCAACGCGCGAAGAGAACGATCAACTTTCGGAAATAAGATGTGCAAGAAATTGCATTCGCAGGACTACAAGTGTCCCGCAATTGATGAAAGTCTGGTCACTTACAGCGAGTGCGACGAGCAGGCTGCAGACGTAAAAGTTCCCTGCAAAAGTAAAAAGGTGAGTCAGCGTGGAAAAATCAACTGCGCAACGTGGTGTACCGTCGTAGAAAAAAAAATCAAGAAAAAAAAATAGAGAAAGGATCCGGAATATTTACCAGCGGCAATCTATCCTTGCGCAAGTATAAACGTCACAATTCTGCCATTAGAAACAATAATATGCCGAGGATAAGAACACAATATTGAGACTATAATATACCTTAAAACCTTTTTAAATGACCCAATATTTTTTTCATAAAATCATATTCATAAGTACCATAATAAAAGATCTTTAAATTATTTTACATTTAGATCCTGAATTATTTCTCTTTAAATTATTCTTCAATTAATTAGTTCAATAATTTTTGGTTTTTAACCAAAAAATTATTCAAGTAATTGAATATTTTTTTCTTTAAATTATAAAATAGCCTATTGAGATATGTTCCTTACGTAATCCGTTCACAATTGCAAAACCCGCTGGACGTTCCTCCAACTTAAAGATCCAAATTCGGATAATTTCTTTTCGTCGCAGAATTGTATTTGCGATTACGGGTCCCAATAACATTTTTTTTTCTTTTTTAATTAAATCATTTCTTAGTACTGCGATAAATAGATCTCTAAATTATCTTTATTTCTAAATATTGAATTATCCTTGAATTAATTACTTCAATAATTTGCTGCTTAAAAAAAACCAATAAATTCAAGTATAATTAAATATAATATATATTAATTAAATATATAATTTTCTTTCTTAAATTACAAAGTAGTCCGTTAAGATGTTCCTTAAATAATTCGTTCACAATCGCAAAATCCGCCATTACGTCCGTTGACTAAAAGATACAGATTCAGATAATTTCTTCTAATTGCAGAGTCGAGTAATTGCGATCGCTCCCGATAAAACTTTTCTCTTCTTTACCTCACGAATTAATTAATATACACATGTTTCCACACTTTTCAATTCTGGGTCAGCGTTTACTATCTTCTCGCATCTCGCGTTCGCTCATGTATTTTTTTTTCACGGTCAACAGCCAGAGAAGCGTCGGCTTCGAGAAGCGTCGCGTGCAAAAACCTCTCTCTCTTTCTCTCTCTCTCGTTCCACATTGACCCAAAATCAATCGAACCGTCTCGGCTTTTTGACATTATCACGGCCCACGAGACTTTCCCTGTTAATTTACGCAACACCCCACGCATATAATATATCCTGATCTGCGAGCAGTTGCATTGGTCGACGCATAAATTTGCGTCACTGAACCGTCGAATAAATCCCCTCGATTTAAGATGTAGCTCGTCTTCTTCTGTTCTTAAAGAAGGAAATAGTTTGGCTCCAATAAAAAGGAAAGAAATATCGCTTCGTCGATGTTGATAGTTGTTGCATAATGTTTAACTGCATACACTAAGATGCATCTGTACATGACATTTTCACAGCGAGACATTTATCCGTGACATTTCACCCAGCATCTATTTGGATCGAGTAGATTATTAATAACTGTGCGAATCGAATTTAATTGCTAAAAATTTCTCTCGTTTTTCCATTATTTATGTGTAACTTGACGGAAAAGTAATTTGTTCGTCAAATTATTTCCCTTCACCAATTTGAGGCGTATAAGTAATTCACTTACATAGACAAGAAGTCTCAAGTTCAAGTTGTGTCTCATCTAATTTGCGAACTTTCCACGAAGAACAATATGAGTGAACGACCAGCTTTGCGAACATTTCAACAGGCACTACTTTAAATTAAAGAAAAATTTATATTCAACTAACAAAATAACGAATTGATATTTACGTAATATGTTAGATGGTAAATAAATATCGAAAAATCATAAAACTTTTAAAAGATACGTTTTTTTTGTTCATTTTTGTTTTTTACGTTTCAGAAGCAGATAGTTGAAATCATTGCATTACAACATATTTCTTTAAAATATTTATGATAATCGATAACATCAAAGATCAGAAGACATTAAAAAAATGTGAGATACTAAAAAAAATATTTTGAAAATTTCAAAAACCGTTTAAAGAATTAAAAGTAAATAAAATATTTTTTTACATTAATATCTAAACGTTCCATGATCTCGATTTCGATATCCAGAATATCCAGAAATTATTAAAATCAAAAACAATATAATTTCATTAACATTTATAACAAAGAGAAAAGCAAAATATTGAAAAATATCTAAAGAATATTTAATCAGCCTCTGAAGATTCGATCTCTTTTCACACTTTCATGTTTTATTTTTAGTATCTGGAATTATTTGATATCTTAGAATTATTTAATGATAAAAATTACTCAACCATGACGAAACTCGCTTAAATTTATATCAAGACTATGACGCGAGCGAGAACTGCGTTCAAGGAAGGATCCAGGATCGTTTTCCAGGGACGGACGGACGAGATTCCATTCGTAACGCGTTGACGAGTCGTGAGATTCACGGAGTGCAATATCCGACACGCTTGACCTGTTTCGTCGATCGGGGATAGCAAAGTGTCAAGGTATAGCTAACTAACTCGTACTCGACTTACCCATGCTTCTTAAACGACAGGCGTTTGCTCACACCTGTTGATCCTCGCAACGCGGCGTCTCCTCGTCGACTGAACTGTTGGATCTTCGGTCTTCGTCTTCCCCGCCCGAGGACTGTCCATTAGACAGCACGGATAGTAGCCGCCGATTCGCGCTGCGAGTTCATGAGATGAATACTAATAGGAAAATATTGTTATTTCAGTATTTCGTGAACATTTGATACATCGTGATAATTTACTTTTAGAATATTACAATAAAATTCAACATTTAATGTACTATTTTTGTAATAAAACCTTTATATTTCCTTAATTTTTATATACAAAACAACTTGGATAAATAGTCTGGTCTGTTGATATCAATCAAGTTTCTATTATTAACAATACCTCGTTTTAAAAAATAATTCCAATAATTAAATATTTCCTGAAACAAGCTGCGTTAACGGCACAATCCCATCATGAAATCATATCGCATTCAAGGCTTTGTATTGTCTTGATTCGCTGCTGAGTACAGGATGCTTCAAATGCGAGAATCATCGGGGAATCGCGCGTTTCATGGGTAATCAGCCTTACCTCTGCCGTACCAGATCTTTTTCCTTTTATAGATACGGCATGAAATGCCACGCATCATCTTCGCGAATCGAATCGATGAGATAATTTAAGAGCCATGTAAATCAAAAGGGTACATTATAAAAATTAATCTACAAATTTAATTATACGTTTTACTTAACATTGTCGTGAATTTCAATGGACGTTCATGCGCAAACGGACATATAATATTCATTAATATACAAAAATCTAAAATTTCTTTTTTTCAAACTTAATATTAATTACCAAACCACCACTGTTTTCCTTTTGGATGAAAGTTATGTTATGAAATATTGATAAAAATCTTCACTTTTTTAGAATATTATATTGCTTGTATTCAGTAAATCTTTGATCAATTATTAAGCATAGTATAATGTTCAGATGCTAACGGATTTTTGGTAAGTCGAGGATAAAAGGTAGGCGTTACGTGGGTGAGTGACCTCGACTTTTCCCTATTCGTTATCGTATACGAATACGAAACATATTCGTTAACGATAATGTCATCGTTACTCTTGACAGGAGAAAATATACTGAAGAATAAGAACAATTCTAGAAAAAAGAAATTCTATATATTTCTCACTGCAATATTAATATTACACTCTTTTATTGTTTATTAAATCTAAAATGCATTTCATTTAATTCAATATGTATTTCAAAAATATATTATTAAATGGTTTCTAAATCGTTGATTATAGTGTGTATAAAGACGTGATCCAAGAAGTATAGTATTGTAACGTAATTGCCAAAATAATTACTGCCAGCAGTTTTCTATATATCAGCCTGTAAGAATATTTGTATCTTTAAAGAAGTTTGTTGGATATAAAAAATCATATATTCAAAATTTCATAAAGCATTTACATAGTATGAGAGTTTATGTACTTACAATATCATCAAAATCGAAACTGCACAAATCAGAGATATCGTCTATATCATTGTTGCCAGTGGCTCTTTGCTCTTCTTTAAATGTCATAGGCGCATCATCATTAACATCAGATTGTTTATTATCATCCTCTATTTTACGCCTAAAAATGTACATTTATCAAATCGAATAATTTTAGTGTTAATTCATTTCGAGAAAATTTTTTAATTTGATTCAAATGAATATGCTCACTTCCTAAACGGCTTCTTTTTCTCTAAGAAAAACAAGTTTTTGATTCTTTCGGTCACTGGTTTGCATTTTGCTTTTATGAATTCGGGTTGCTCTAGAAGATTCAATAGATCGTCGGCGATAGGCGGCAACGGTTTATCTGGATTAAGCGCACGAACTGTTAATACATCCCACATGTGTTGCGTTCCAGGATCTGGCATATATCCCGGTAAATATTTCTCACTACTACTGATTGTATCATCATCGGCACTGATATAAAAATTCAATAGATAATGAACAATATTGTATAAATATTGCAAAAAATATAATATGATAACTTTGTTCTTTCTAATTTATTGGATACCTTCGATAAATTTTTTTTTTAGAATTTTTCAGATTTTCTGTATAATTTTAAAATTTTTTAGAAAATTTCTAAAATCACTTATACGAATTAAAATAATTTTCTGAAGTGTTCTGGGAAAGTCTACATACATACATATCTTTTTTCTATAATTCTTCATTATATAAATTTTGAAATATTCTAAGATTTTTAAGATTTCTTATTCTATAATTTCTAAAGAAAACTTATAAAATCTGAAAAAATTTTAATCAATAAATTTTAAATAATAAATTTTTTTAGAAATTTTCACAAAATGTAACAAATTCTTAAGAATATTATGGAAAATAATATAAGAAAATTTTTCACTGGAGATATTTTATATTTATGTTATATACATTATACATCATATTTATATTTATGTTATATACTTACGCATCGGGCAATTCTAAGGATCTTAACAGATCATCTATTGCGTTATCCTGCTCCTGCGACAGTTGGTTCGTCATGCCTTTCAATGGTTTCTGCGCTATTGCTCCATAATCTCGCTCAAATGGCAAACCAATTTCAATAAGACACTGTTATAAAAATTATCTGATTAGCATTAACAAAATAAGGAACAATGGAGAGAATATTCTTACCCATGGTTCATTCTCTACGTCAACACTTGGAAATAGTGCCACCATGTTAGCTTCGGTATTTGCTCTATAAACTTTCTCTACTATCGCGATAACATTTTTGTCAACCATAGCTTGCACTAGACTATAAAATGGCGCACTCGCTGCCTGTAAAAGAATTTCTTATTCATTTTTACTGTTACATCATTGAATGTGAGGCTATTATACAGAGTTCAAAAAAGGTGGTACCATATTTTAGGAATATGTAGTACTCGTGAAAACAAACCGAAAAATCTTAATAAACAATACTTCAAAATCATTTATTCCCAAGTTATAAAGCATTTTCTATTGTAATGAATAATCCATTCATTTCGAGTATGTAAACATATTTACACAACTGTTCATTCTCCACGAGCTTCTAAGCTCGTTACTTGTTGATAACAGTTTTCAATTCTCTGTTCAGTGAATGTCAATTTATCTACGAATGCCCGTGTATCATTAACAGTATCTAGTTTTGACATATAAAATTATACCGTTGTCAACAAATCTGAGATAAACCTAGAATCTTTAACCGTGTTCGATTTTCAAAAAGAAAAAATGTATTGATGTATTGAAATAAACGAAGGGCACATTGAATATCTGCTGTAATTAAATTTATTTTTTGCTTTATAACTCGGAAAAAATAGTTTTTAGAGTTCTGCTTATTAAGACTTTTCAGTTTGTTTTCACGAATCTACAATTCCTAAAATTTGGTACCTTTTTTGAACACTGTATAATAGCCGTATTTACATCTTGTACATAACAGAAGAATCCTATTTACCTCGTTAGCAGGTACAATAACGTAAGAACCATCCGACAGCCAATATTCCATAGCAACATTTTCTCTCTTTGTAAAACCGTGAATCTTATAACTTTTTTCATTGTTTTTGGGAGTCATGGCTTTCTTAGCTTCATCTATAATTGACACGTACACATGAGTCATCAGAACTTATATATAGAACATTTTTATTATAAAATTAACAAAAGTTACCCGAAACAGGAATAGCCTTGCCACCGTATACATAACCACGGATAATATCTTCTTCTGTGTGAATAGTTCTATTGTTGTCCATCCATTGTACGACATTCTTAATTGGCACTTCTTTATCGGGTGTATTGGACATACTTGTCTTACCCATCAATACCATTTCCGGTAACTTCACCTCACTCGGCATCTTATAACGTAAATAATACGTAAAATATATATATATATACGCAAAAGAGATATAATAATGTTTTATGTATATTAGAACTTTACTTTAGAAATTCCTGCGATCGGTATGCATAATTCGCCCAATTCCATCAGGCAACGCCACGGAAGCGGTTTAGTAGATGGCCGTTTGTAGAAGCGCACATCTGACATCGCATGTTCAAATGTGAGATACTGACCATTAATCTGTAAAAAAAATATATATATATATATGCATATATTAGGTGTTGGAATTAATTCGTAGCATTTGTAATGAAAGAATGTTATTTATTTCACATGAGCATTAAAAAATACATTAATGAAAGTACTTCCCATCACTTGTAAAACGCTACGAATTAATTCCAACACCTAATATATAAAATATAGTAATATAATAAATAAATATACATATATACATATTTATTAGATCATTATTACATTTTATATAATTAGATGCAAAATTTATAATCTATTGTAATTTAATGATCACACATAATGTCCACACATTTGTCTAAATTACCTGTTGTAGAACATTCATAAGTAGTGCTTCACTGGGTGTTTGAGAATCTTCATCTATTTCATGTAATGCTCTTTCTCCACTATAATATATCAAATTTTTTATTCTATTTTATATTTTTATTCTAACTTCATGCATAACATTAATCTAAGCTTCATCTGTTATTACTATTACTAATATTAACAATATAATTAAAATAATGCTATATTACAGTATAGTCAATACATTGCTATGAGTGAAACTGCTTCTGAATTTAATATCTCTATTATATCCTCTGCCTGAAACATATCAACAACATTTTCCTCTTCATTGAAAGAAGACAACAGGATTATTTTCCTCTCACATTTATCTCTGCAATAAGAAACATAGTAAATATAATATATAATATTAATAAAATAATTAATAAAATAATATAATTAAAATTTAACATTACGCTATATTTAAATACACTTACACGCATTCGTGTTTAATATATTCGACTGCAGCATAAATTGCATCCATCCAAGAACAAGTCTGATTTGTGGGTTGCAATTTCTCGATGCTTTTTATCAAATTCCAATTTCCAATTTGCATGTTACATAGTTCCTGTGCATTATCTAATCCTGTAATACTGTCGCTTGTACTACTATCTGAGCCCATCAATATCACTCCCATTTCATCCTTAGGACGTAGAAATATCTGCGCAGTATGCTCATAATTAACAGAAACTCAGATACGAGAGAATATTTTTCATTTGGTAACACAAGTTAGTACAAGTGCCATTCTATCTTTTAAATTTAG